AGTGAAGCTCAGATAAGATGAATATTGAATTTAATGTATTTAGAAGTTGCCCACAAGGTTCCTATAGTGCTCACCTGTTCTGGGGCCTTGTTGTTAATGGCTTATTGAAAGACTGCACAATACCAAATGTACAGATTGTCTATTATTCTGATGACATCTTGGTAATTATTGAGTCTTTGGAAAAGGTGGAAAATACTTTTAAACAAGTTGAAATTAAGTTTAAACATTGGAGCCGGATTAAAGCAATTGAATTTAATATATAAAAAAATTATGGACTTCCCCCTTGTAGTAGCAGGAAAACAAGACCACCAAAATTTTAATTTGCTGGAAAGGCATATTAAGTTTGATTCAAGTATTAAGTATCTAGGTGTGATTATTGACTAGAAGTTGAATTTTGTAGAACATTTTAAAAATATGCATAGATAATGCTGACAAAGTTTTAAAGTTTCATAAATATAATGAAACATTAAATATGAAGAGTGCTACCCTGCGAGAAATTTATAAATGTGTTATTCTTCCTAAGATCTGCTATAGTATTAGTTCATGGGAATGCAGAGCAGGGGAGATGATTAGATTACGATCTAAACTTGATATGTTGCAGAGGAGCTGGCTGCTAGCCATTAGAGCATTTAGGACCATTTCAACAGAGGTGTGGCTTGCATCCTGACTGGCATCCCACTACTTTCGATTTCCTATGATTATCTTTATGGAAAATTCCCAATTTCAGATCAATATGTTGAAGATATTCAGGTGTGGGGGGGGAGATCTTATAAGCAGTAAAGCTTTCCTGTAACAAAATGAAGATTCTACACATTTGCTAAAAGATTTGAAATTCTATATGACTGCCTGAAGTTTTCTCCAGGTGAATTGGACATTTATACCGAAGGTTCCAGGTTTGAGGGGGATATTGGTAGTGTTTTGGTTATTTATTTCCACAGAATTGAAATTGAACATATTAAAATCAAACTTTAAAAAAAAATGATGAATTCAGTCTATGAAGAGGGGTTCTGTGGAATAAGACAAGTATTGTATTGGATAGAAAACAATTTGTCTGTTAAGTATGGAATTATATATATATGGATGCTGCAAGCTCTTTCTGGTCTGGAACATAAAAACAAATTCCGAAATGAAATTAAAGATATGTATTTTAAAATCAGAAATAAACATAATATTAGATTAGGCTGGATCAAGGCACATGCAGGAAAAATGGGAAACGAGGGCAGACACCTTTGCGAAATTGACTGCATTGAGTGACGGAATGGAAGTCCAGAATATACAAGATTCATGTAAAAAGATTATTACTGTTACACAAAATGATCTTCATAAATAAATGGAAAGCTGGAGATCGTCCGTAGAGACGTTGACTTGCTAAAAAATATAAAAGTCAGCAAGAAAATGAAATTTCTTGATGATAGATTTAAATCAAATATTATCTGGACATGGATGATTCCCGGCTTATTTAAAAAAAGTTGGTCTCTAGGATAACAATCAGTATTTGAATTGTAATAAATTTGGGGATCTCAAGCACTTTTTGGAGGAAATGTGTATTAACTGGTAGTGCAAGGTGGGGGAATATAGAAAATATTGTAACAAGGACTTTGATAAGAACTATAAAAATCTGTTGTATTACACAAGGAGGATAGTAAACATAATAAACTGTAATAGACAAGCTATAGGTGTATTATTATGATTTTCACTGTATGATTAAGTTTGTGTGTGTTTTGTTCATTTTTTATTATTATTTTCTTTAGTTGTTATGTGTCTGTTTGTTATGATAGGTGAATTAATTGAAATTCATTAATAATATATATTATTTTGTTTCATTGTTTCTTACTAACTATTTTGTTACTCTGTCCTGGGTCCTGGCTTTTTCAGAGGTATTTTTCAATTAGCTATTAATTTATTCTATTAAAATTTTTGCTTTGAGCGTGGCCAGGTCGCTGGATGCCATTGTTTGTTGTTGGATGGGTTTGTCCCTATTAACCATATAGCTGGATAAATCCAGCTGTGGGGGGCTTCACCTCATTAAATAGCCACCCTACTTCTAATCATAAATAATTCCAGCCAGCGATCCGGCTGTGTTCCTCAAATGAAATGAAAGAAAGCTTCCGGAAAACCAAAGTTGCAACTAAGTGAAAATTTGCATTTTGTTATTCATGTTATAGAGGTAATCGCTGGTCAAAATTTTAATTTGTAGTATATACATATAATTACAATAGTTGTGAAGAAATGTCAAATATAAGAAACTGGTTTTATAAATATTCAAGATGTGTATACAATCAAAAGTCTTTAATACGAACCTCAAAGTTACAAACTTTCTGTGCATGCGTAAACGCATTATGCATTTACGCATAAGCGTTTAATATATAACGGATGGTATAAGCTAGGCTAAAATGATCTAATTATCTATTTCAGTTAATGTTGCAGATTGCGTTGTTCCTTAATCTTCTAATTGGATCCGGCTTATTATTTTTTGCAGACTCTTAGAACAATTTTATAAAAAGTAAGCTTGAACTTTCGATTATGTCAAAAAGAGTTTCCGATTCTGGAGCTGCCAAAGGATCTACAAAGCGAAAGCATGTGTCGATGTCCATCAAACAAAAAGTGGAATTGCTGCAAAAAATGGATAAAGGCATATCCTTTGTTTCTCTAACCATTTTGAAATGTGTTTATCAATTTCACGCTGCTCTGCGGGAGGGGGGGGGACGTCGCGGCACGCAATGAACTGGAAGTTGATCTGTCAGCACTATCCTTATCTTTAGGGCAGATGTTTTTATTTTATTTGGCTTAAAATTCCTTACTAAATGTAGTATTTCATCTCGATGGACTCCGTCTTTGATATGATTTAAATCAAATTTCTTGTCATTATAAATATCACGAATACTTATCAAATAGTTTGCTGGTTGCAATTTTCTAATTTTGACTATTCGTAATGTATGCTTTATGCATGCGCGCGCTGAAAGAAATGTTTAATAAAGTAAACAAATAAATATTAAGCTTTTGTTTTGTAAATTTTGATACTCTTTAGATCATAATTGCTCTTTATTTCATAAATTATGGTTTCATATTTTTAATTTTATAATTTCTGCATGCCATCTTACCAGATTTAAATTGATGACCTATAATCCGGAAAAAACCCTAATCCAAAATCGCCGAAGTCCCGATGAGTCCGGATTAAAGACTTTGTACTGTATTAGTAGAAATGATTAATTTTATGAAATTAACTTCATGTATTATAAAAATCATATAAAAACTATCCATTTCATTTAATTCATTAATAATAATGAAAAAAATTATATATTTAAGCTATAGAACTTTATACGCATCGATTGTTTTATCAGTACCATTTGTGGAATTCCATATTGTCTTTATTAAGCATAAATTTCTTTTTACTTATGGAGAAAAACATTTTATTATAATTAACTGAATTTCAGATGTTTCTGTTTTCCCACCTAAGTTTTAAATGAACAGTATTGTTCACATATATAGCCCTTAGCACATTGTTCACTTTGCTTATTACAAATCCTTCACTGAAGTTCTTCAGTTGATATTACTTCAACAACTTCTCTAGCAGTTTCAAGGCATGAAGCTTGCTTGTGACTTTGCTGCTTGCTCATGTCACTTTTTGTTAGCACTGATGAAAAGTATGGCATAAAAGTTCTGTCAGTGGTAATAACATTAGGATTCAATCATTTATTTAGTATGTGGCAGTTAAATGTCATTCCACCATTGCAAAAAAGCTCCTGTGCAGCAGTTTGATATTTGAACTACTCTGTATTGTGAGCATTTGACTGATCCACTCACTATACACTCCCTCTTAAGCATAGTGTAATATGTGGGAAGGCAACTTGTTGTTGCAATTAAGCCCGTACTGTGTGCATGTTTATGAGCCCTTTGTGTTAATGTGATTGATCATTGCATTGATGGATTGTGACTACAGTGCATGGGTGTGCCCATTATTTCACTGTGAAGAATGGCATGTGTGATGTAGTTCATCATTTGTCTTTCTGTCATTTGGTGGGCAGAGGTGGGTATTCCTGTTACTTTTGAAATCTTCTACTGTGGCAGTCCCAAGGTGTTAGGTTTGCTTGTGTGACTTTCAGTCTTTGGTCATATCACCATCTGTTAGCTCTGATGGGAAGTGCAGTGTATGAGTTTTCGTTGCCCTTGCTGATGGTAGACAACCTTGAGATTCGATCATGGATCTATTACATGGCAGTAACCACTACGCGAAAGAACTCCCATGTGGTAGTTTCTGATATTTGAACTGCTTCATGTTACAAGCATTTAATTTATCCTTGCGATGATGAGACTTCTTATAAGAATATTATTTTAATTCCAATTCTGAATTTATGAATTTAAATCTGTAAGTGACAGCTATGCTCAATTTCCAGTTTTGAAAGATTAAATGTTTTCAGCATTACCAATCTTATAGGTGCATTTTATTTATTTATTTATTTATTTATTTTTATTTTTTAAGGGAACTTGTTTTCCACATAACAGTTTTATTGTTCTTTATTAAATATTTTAGATATTAGAAGTCTTAATACATTTTCTTGCAACTTGCTTTCTGGCAGTTCAAGAATATTGTATCTTTTTCTATCATAGTTGGAAAAGAATGATTATCTTTACTTTTAAGCAGTTTTTTTTTTTTCTGTGACACTAGAACTTTTAATAATGCGTGTTTCTCTTCCTAATATTGAATCGTCATTTTGGGATTTTTTAATGAATTAGTTTTATTTTTAAAAAATTTCTAGTTTCTATTAGTGCTCCTCAAACAGAGCATCTCTTGTTTAGAATTTAATGTACAAAGGAACTAAGAAATTTGTTCCATATTTTGTGTCATTTATAGAAGGTACCACTTTATCTGTAGAAGAAGAACCTTTCATATTATTTATGGTGTTCAGTTGTAGTTTGTTTTTATTCCTTACAACTAAAGTTAAATCATGCTATATATCTTTAAGATTTGAAATTTTTGACTGAAACCTTTTCTTTTGTAGGAAAAAAAGTTTTTGCTACAGAATAAAATGGACAAAATAAAAGGGAAATTGGAAGGTAAAAGGCATGAAATCATTCACAAATGGGAAGAAAAGTCTAGAGAATTCATAAATAATTTTTTAGATTTATTTGGTAAAGATGGCAGACTGGTGAGTAATCCTTTTGCAATTATTTTCAAAATTTTATGTTTAAAATAGGGTACCATTAGTTAAGTAGATAAGGAATATATTAATAATTCATGTTGACGTTGATTCTTGTAGCATCTATCTGCATATGTTTTCATTGCTTTTTCTTAAACCATTCAAACATGTGCTACATCTAACAAAAAAAATTGCAAGTTTTTCTTAGAGAATTTTCTGTAAAGGAACCTTTCATAAGGCAGATGACTTCCTTTGTTGAAATGAATAAATTAATGCCTGAACTAGATGTTTGAAAAACATATTTCATATAACTAAGACACTGGGCAAATGATTATCTTACATGAATATTTAATTTAAAAATTGTATAGGCTGTGTTTTTATATTTAACAACTTTCCAAGTTCAGTTTTGCTGTTAAAAATTTAAGGTATTCATTATCAGTATGGCTAATGTTTTAAATAGTTTTGAGAGATCTGAGTTTTTTAGATATTTAAAAAATATAAACCCCAGAGAAGACGACACATTGTGACTGGTATCCTTTAAGACTTCCGTTTCAATCCCCTTAAAAAATATAAACCTCACAGAAGATAACACATTGTGACGGATATGCTTTAAATCTTGGCTAATGTTTTAAATAGTTTAGAGAGGTCTGAATTTTTTAGATATTTAAAAAATATAAACCCCAGAAAAGACGACACATTGTGATTGGTATCCTTAAGACTTTCGTTTCAATCCCCTTAAAAATATATAAACCTCACAGAAGATAACACATTGTGATGGATATCCTTTAAGTCTTTTGTTTCAGTCCTCCCTTCTGATATGCTATATTAATAACTTGTATTTATTGATAATCTAATTAGATAAAGAGGGATCTATTCCTTCAGACATTTGCCAGAATGGTTGGCACTGGTTTGGTAGGATCTCTGCCAACTTTCAGGATTGATTTTTTTTTTTTTTCCTTCCTCATAAGTTTCTTGGTCACTTAAGTCAGTTATCCTGGCTCATATTTTGTTAGCAGTATTTTTTTTCCCCAACAGAATATATAAAGTGACATTTTGGTAACATTCATCTGATTCTTATCTCTAGTCGCTTAATAATGAACTGCAGCATGTATATTTCCTCCCTTGGGAGGGAGGCTGATTCTAGAGGAATAGAATATTTGTGAAAAACAGCATAGTTGCATATATTTTTAGAATTTTATGAAGGAAAGGAAAATTGTTAAAAATATTTTATTCCTTAATGCATTCAAATCTGCAATTTTAAATTTCTGTCAAGTTAATTGTTGTACATGCTAAACTTATTTTAAATTTGAATACTATTTTAAATAGTCATTTCAAGAATTGAATACAAGTTCAATTGAAATTCAGTTTACATAGCAAATTGAGCTTTTCTGTAACTGATTTAATCTAGCATATTATTTTGGGCAGGCTATTATCAAAATTAAAGTATGAATGTTTGAGTATGTAGAAAAGACTTTCTACAGGGTTTGTACAGTCCTTAGGTTTTTTTGAAATCGATTTTTGTTCCTTAAATGTCCTTAATTTAATTACCAAAATGAGTAGAAGGTCCTTAGTTTTAATCATCAGAAATTTGTCTCTTTTTACGACTAGTGTGAATTATTATTTTGGAGGAATAGTTTTGGTGATCACTGACAAATATGGTTATCTTTTGAATGGGTTCGTGGATTGTAATTTGTTCCTATTTCCAATATAAATGGTGAGATACTTGAGTTTCTGAGCAAGAAATGAAACATAAGTATTTCAAAATTATTTCTCTTTTTTCTAATTAAGAACTCTTAAACAACTTTTAGCTTTTAGGGATGTGAATTCTTTTATTAAATGGTTCTAAATTTAGCGACTTATCAACATTTTGGCAATTTTGAGATCAGTTTCTAAGGAAATTTTAAATTCTGAGATCTGGAAATTTTTCAATAACTTTTTTTAAAACATTGTAACATCAGTGTTTTAAAATATGTAAAACATTAATAAAAATAAATTTCATTAAAATAATGGTCATACTTGTATATTAAAATTAGTTATTAAAAAAATAACATTAAAATAAAACATTTTTATTTTTTGCTGTCATATAGTTCTATTTTGGCCACCTATTATACAGTATTTTGAATCTGAAAAATAAACAAGGTATAATGCTATAAAGCACAATTTATGAAATAATTCCTAGCAAAAGCAAAATGGCTGTTTGAATAATTAGAAATATCTTCTTTTTAATTTTTTTATGGTAAACGTTTTCCCCATGTTATTGTCTCAGAATATGCATCAGTTTTCTCTATAAAATTAATTTTATACTTTTCCCCTCTTATTTTTTTCCCAAAATATTTCTGTCGTTTTCTGTTATAGAATTCGTAGGTGTAATTTGTCTTTAGAATTTTAGACATTGCAGCTCGGAAAGTTTAGAATGATTTGAAGGCAAGATTTATAGACCCACGATTCTAGAAGATTCCAGAAAAATGTGATAAAATGAAAAATGCCTCCATGGTACTAATATATAATGGATGTATTTTGCAGAAAGTTTGCGATGAATTTCTTACTTTTTGGAGAACGTCTAGAACAACAATGAAAACATAATATTTGAATGTTTTACTTCTAATATCTTAACATGTTTATCTTCTCTTTATTTTCTTTACTTTTTACTAGACATAAGCATGGAAAATATCAAAAATGCTTCTAATCTTATCACATGGACAGGCACTATAGAAAGGAATTTTTTCATTAATAAAGAAGTTGAAAACTGACAATTTAAAAGATTCATCTAATATGCCACACACAGGGCTGGGGCTAGGCATTTTCCCGCCTGATGCAATCTCTGTGGATCCTAAATTCTGAATTCTGCTGTCTGCTCTAAATTCTAAAAGTTTTGTCATTTCTAGACTTTGTTGCTTGCTGTGTCACTAAACTTTAAAATTCTGCCACATCAGCTCTGTAACCAGCCCTTACCATATACAGTACAAAGTCCGAAATCTGGACTCGTCGGGACTTCGGCGATTCCAGATTTGGGATTTTTCCGGATAATAGATCATCACTTTAAATCTAGTAAGATGGCATGTAGAAATTATAAAATTAAAAGGATGAAATCATGATTTATGAAATAACAAAGTATTTATGATCTAAAAGATATCAAAATTTACAATAAAAGAAGCTTAACATTTATTTGTTTGCCTACCTTATTAAACATTTCTTTCAATGTAAGTTTTTTTAAGTTGCTTCGTTTTTTGTGCTAATACTTTCTCTTTAATTCTGTAGGCAGACATAATCTCTTATTTAGTTACATAGTTGATGTCCTGTAACTGCTGTTTCAAGAATTCCGACTGACTTGTCAATCGAAATTTTCTGGTTTTCAGTAACTTCTCTGTCACTTTCTTCAGTATTATCTGGATTTAGAACCATACTACAGATTTTTCCATTCATGATATAAAACCTTTTCTACATCATCTTCATTTATTACCACTTCTCCAAATTTCTTTACAAAATCCGTTAATTGGAAAATTTCACCGTTGTTTTGCAATATCCGAAAACCTTTCAAATTAGCGGTTATCATCATCAAATTTAGCTCTTCTTTACTATTCATATTTGGCTCTGCATCATGAGCGTGGCGACTAACGATAAGTTGTTCCATTAAATTTTATCTTGCTTCTATTGCGCACTAAGACAATTAAGCCTGAATTGTATTAGGTTAGTTATTTATTATATTTATGTCTATTTCTTGCACATGCGTAAGGCTTATCAGAGTTCTGAATAAATAAATTCCCACCATATATTTTAGCCTTAGGGCTGGCACTAGGTATCTTATCACCTGACTGCAGTCTCTGTGGGTCCTAAATTCTGTGATTCGATGCGGCGATATGAGCCTTGGCGCTGGTTTTGGGTTTATGTAAATAACAAATCGGGTATTCTTAATTCAAATAGCCCTAAATCTAATCTTTGGGTCTATGAGTATCATCAAAAAATCTATTTTTAGCATATGGGAAAGAAATTTTTGTTAAATTTTTCCTCGTCAACATTTTTTAGCACATTTAACTTAAATCTGTAATCATCGCCAATCGTAATGTCAACATAAAAGGTTACCACACTCATTTATTATTCAATTACTAGCATAAAAAATTGTGTAGGCATTACTACATGAGTCATTACTCAATTTGTCATGTTTTGATAAACATGCGGTGCTGAAAGGAAAGTATAGTAAATAATGATTCACCACGTTGATGTCGCATCAACAATGTATCTATGTGGAATATTTTAGTTTGAGATGTATGCCAAGCAGATACGGAGCAACGGAGCCAAATTAGTGATCATACAAATTTATGCTAAAATGATTGTTTCTTCAATAACAAGGTATTTTATTTTGTGTCGGAGTAAAATTAAGAATCGAAACTCTCCAGATGCTTATTATACGTGGAGAGGGGAATCAAATGCGCATGCGTAAAGTCAACGAGAAAACTTTGTAGGTATTTTTGATGTTTGGATTTTAGATCATTCAGGATAATGGACATCCGAATTTCGACTTTGTACTGTATATTTCATATTTCTTCTGAATGTTCATATGACTAAAACAAAATTAGCAGCTTTTTCTATACAGTCTAAATGCATTTAGATTTTTAAATAATAGAAATCTTTAAATCCAGAAATTCTAAAATGAAAAGGAAGTGCATTGAAGAAAAAAACTGAGTACGTAAAGAGAAAGAAAATTATTCTTCGAAGATGTGTACAGTTATTATTATGTAAATTACCCAGTTGTTTATAATTTCAGCCTTTGCTATAATTTCTCATTTTGATTTCCTCACCAGAATGCAAATCACTTGGGCAGTTTTTAAATTGAGGTTTTTGGAGAGTGTAAGACAGAGTGTGTTTCTGACCTCCGCTTAGTTCCTGCCAGCTCTGATCATTTGTAATTATTCATCTTTGAATTATTACTGCTGACATTTGAATTTGTTATGATGATAGAGTTACTGAGCCAGCATAATATAAAATTATTGTATAGTCTTTGAGTCCACATA